CATGCAGGAATGTAAACAGTTCAATCTTAATAAGTCTCTTATGATTTCTCTTTCCTGTTTACCTCTTCATGTTCCACTTGAGTCCTGTATTTGAAAGTCAAATTTTCTATTCAGCTCTGGTCTTTTCATCAAGAATGCTTGAAAGTCCTCTATTTCACTGAATGACCATTTTTTCCCCTGAAGGATTATACTCAGTTTTGCTGGGTAGGTGATTCTTGGTTGTAATCCTATCTCCTTTGCCCTCTGGAATATTATATTCCATGCCCTGCAGTCCTTTAATGTAGAAGCTGCTAAATCTTGTGTTATCCTGATTGTGTTTCCACAGTACTTGAACTGTTTCCTTCTGGCAGCTTGTAATATTTTCTCCTTGACCTGGGAACTCTGGAATTTGGCTACAATATTCCTAGGAGTTTTCCTTTGGGGATCTCTTTCAGGAGGAGATCTGTGGATTCTTTCAATTTCTATTTTGCCCTCTGGTTCTAATATATCAGGGCAGTTTTCCTTGATAATTTCTTGAAAGATGATGTCTAGGCTCTTTTTTTGATCATGGCTTTCAGATAGTCCAATAATTTTTAAATTCTCTCTCCTGGATCTATTTTCCAGGTCAGTTGTTTTTCCAATGAGATATTTCACATTGTTTTCTAATTTTTCATTCTTTTGGATTTGTTCTACTGTGTCGTGATTTCTCATAAAGTCACTATCTTCCAATTGCTCTATTCTAATTTTTAAGGAAGTATTTTCTTCAGTAAGCTTTTGGACTTCCTTTTCCATCTGGCCAATTTTGCTTTTTAGGGCATTTTTCTCCTCATTGGCTTTTTGGACCTCTTTTGCCATTTGGGTTAGGCTATTTTTTAAGGTGTTATTTTCTTCAGTATTTTTTTGGGTCTCCTTTAGCATCACTCTCAGTTTTTCCTCTACTTCTCTAACTTGCTTCTCAAAATCGTTTTTGAGCTCTTCCATGGCCTGGGACCAATTCATATTTTTCTTGGAGGCTTTGGATGTAGGGGCTTTGACTTTGTTGTCTTCTTCTGGTTGTATATTTTGGTCTTCTTTTTCACCAAAGTAAGATAATATAGTCTGACTCTTTTTGCGCTGCTTGCTCATGATCCCGGCCAATTAGTCGAGTTTTAAACTCTTTGTTAAGGTACAAATCTGCTTCCAGTGTGAAGAATGTACTGTCCCAAGCTTTGGGGGTTTGTACAGCTGTTTTCAGAGATACTTGTAGGGACCTGTAAATTTTCAGTTCTTCCAAGGTGGTATGATAAGGGGCAAGGTGTTTACTCCTTTCCTGGCCTGCGACTACAAGTACTCCTTTCTGTCCTGTAACTGTCCTCTCCACAACCACTATAAGCTCCACCAAGCCAGCGCTCCTCCTCACCCCAGCACCACTGCCCAGAACTGTGGCCCAGATCCAAACATGGGCAAAGCAAGAGATTCCTGCCTCAGCATGGGCAAAGAGATCCCTGCAATCCCTCTCTGATCAGCCACTGGATTCCCCCTCAGTCTGTGGGCCGGAAGCTCGGGAAGCAGCTGCCCCCCCACAGGGCCACGCTCTTGGGGAATGGAGCTGAAACCCCACCTTCCTTTCTTAGGCACCGACAGAAACAGACTTTTCCCACTGACCTTCTAATTTGTCTTTGGCATTTGTGGATTGAGGAGTCTGGAAACCTCCACAGCTGCCCATTCAGTCCTCTGAGGCCTGCTCCAGGTTCACTGCAGCCTGCTCACCCACGCTGCAGCTCCCAGCCCGGTGCAATACACCTTTCTGATCAATCATCCAGGTTGTCTTGGGCTGGAAATTTGTTTCACTCTGTCTTTTTGTGGGTTCTGCTGCTTCAGAATTTGTTTAGAGCCATTTTTTATGAGTATTTGGAGGGGTTTTGGGGAGAGCTCAAGCAAGTCACTGCTTGCACTCCACCATCTTGGCTCTGCCCCTTGGGTAAATCTTTAAGAGAGATTTCCCTCACTAGTTGATTTCTGGAGGAAGTAGAAAAGGGGAAAAACCTTGGTCCTAATATAATAATTAGTTATTAAATACAAGAGAGAAATAATCATTTCTCATAGTACTCATAAAGGACTACTAGATACACTCTTACTATCTTCTTACTTATTTTGGCTATTTGTGCGTTATTGATCTTTTTTGCTTTGTCCTCTCTAGTCAAAAGATCATTCTCCTTGGCAGAGATAACAGAAACAGATTAAGAATTGGACAAGTCTTCCTTCTGCAATCTCATCATACCATCCACCTTAATCAGGGGTCCTAAACCTTCTCAGATCATCCTGTTTTACCCAAGATACATAATCTCTGACTCCCTCCCCCACCTCCCACATCCTTTAGTCTTTAGTTTTCCTCTCCAGCCTTAGATCATTCTGAATTTTAGAACTCCTGACATTATTTTTCCTGTGCTATGCCCCACCCCTACTTTTATATTCACCTATCTTTAAAAAATATTTTTCTGTTTCTCTTAAAAAGTGAAATTAGTGGAAGAATTCATCCTTGCAACTACTTCAGGTTCTTTAAACAGTAACCCTTGTTCCTCTTTGTATCTTTAAAATTTTATTCTTAAGAACATCTCATCCTTCTAGGGCTAATATCCCCTGTGGAATTTTAGGTCACACAAGCCTATCTAATCTTCCTCAATTTCCTTTGATGTCTGTTCTCCCTAAATGAGTGCATGTAATACCACTGCCCATTTTTGTCCTCTCTATCACAAATTCTAAAACAGAGTGGTTACTGGCCCACAAAGTTCCCATCATTTTTATTCCAGAAACCACATTTGTCTTGTTGAGAATCAGACCCAGAAGTTCCTCCTTGTGGATTCCTTAACCTTTGGAAAGATGAAATGACCATTAAGGCAACTACTTTGTTTTTATCAGAGAAAAATTCTGGTTGACGTCTGGATTACTGAAATTCATCATCACTGCTATAATATATTGCCTGCTCTTCAGGCTTTTGATGTGTTCTCCAAATTATTCTATATATTTCCTCTTTAATTTTGATTCAGAATTGCAGATAACCCAAAGGTAACAGTAAAATAGTTGCAAGCAGGCAAAAGCATATTATCAATGACAATATTGTGATAATTGGCATGAAGGACATCAGGAATAGGAAAAAAAGACATGCCCACTTGTATGGATAGTCAGCAGTAAACTAATAACCTTAAGATATCAGAAGCAATGGAGGATAGCCTGTGTGTACTGGATAGACACTCCATGAGGGTTTTGGGGAAAGAAATGGACGAAAATTGTACAAAATGAGAAGGTGTTAAAAGGTTGCAATCTGCACTGGGAGAGCGTACACACTTTGACGAGATTGTGCAGACCCATCCAAGAATTCACGGGGAAACAAAGTGGTGTAATTCAGAGGGCTTGGATTCTAGAGAGGCCTGAATTTGAAATCTGCCTCTAACATTTCCTAGCTATGTGGCCATGATAAAGTTGCTTGACCTTTCTTTGTTAAATGAGATGATGTATTAATCAACCAATAAGCATTTATTAAGCAGCTTTGTGTTTAAAGCTCTTTGAAGACCTTAAAATGCTATATAAATGGAAGGTATTATTATTTTTTATTATCCCTCCTCTGTATTTCTGTCATTCAATGAATAAATATTTACTAAACACTACTATGTGCCAGGAGGCACTGTGCTAAGTGCTGGGAATATAAAAAGAGGCAAAAAACAGTCTCTGCCCTCAAGGAGCTCACAATCTATTAGGAAGACTACAGGCAAACATGTACAAATAAGCTCTATAATACAGGATAAATAGGAAATATTAGGAATAGCAAAGCATTAGAATTAAGAGGGATTGGGAAAAATTTCCAGTAGATGGGCTAGTGGTGCAGACACCCATTCTCCTGTCTTTGGAACATTTGTCTAATCACTGTCTCCTTCTATTTCCTCATACCTAATTAAGTTTCATGTCAGGGTATGTATACTTTTCTTTTTTTTACCTCCATGATCTCTTTTGCATTTTTTGTTTCCATGGACACCAACTTAATCTAGGCCCTTATTACCACCTGCCTAGACTGTGGTAATAGCCTGATAACCAGTTTTTCTTTTCCACTCTTCCTTCAAATCCATCCTTCTTAGAGCTGCTAGATTAATATTTATACAAACATCTGATTTTGTGACATATATGAATTCAACAAACAGCACCCACTTGGTGATGTACTGGTAGCACAAAAATTTTTAAACAATACAGTCCTTGTCTTCATGGAACTAAAAATCTGGTAGACCCATCCACAAATAGTCATATTTTATCTTAGATTAAATATACAGGAGGGACCAAAGAGAGATTAAAGAATAGGCAAAGCTTCACAGTAAAGAATGAACTAAACAGTGCAGTAGAGAGAATTCTGGATTTGGAGGCAGGAGGATCTGGGTCCACTTAAACTCTCAGGACTTCACTTTCCTCCTCTGTAAAATTAGGAGATTGGAATGAACATCCTCTAAGAGTCTTTCCGCTTTTAAATCCATTATCCTATAAGGACATGGTATCTGATCTAGAACTTGAACAGAAGGAAGGATTTCAGTGGGAGGAGGTGGGTGCAATGAAGTACTGAAGAATTCATTCTAGGCTTGGGCAAAATAGATGAACAAAAGCTGAGTCTCCAGTAAGACAGAAGAAGAATTGTCCATTTTGGCTGGAACAGAGAGTTTTCAGGGGATTCCCCAAGGTCAAAACTATTTTCATAAGAATATGAAGACATTTTAATTTTGAACACAGTAAATATCAATAGATCTAACCCACATAAACAAAAGCTCTTTAGAGGATCCTCAGTAATTTTTAAGAATGTCAAGAGGTCCTGAGACCAAAAAGGCTTGAGAACCACTGGGCTAAATGAACTTGAGCTTGTCAAAATCAACAGTTCTGTTACATTCTCCTTTTTAAATATTCAAGTAGCATACCTGTTCCAATTTCATGTTGTAGCTGAGATGATGAAAACTGTGGAGACTAACTTCACTTTTGTATCGATAACAACATTTATTTTATTTTACAAGATTTGGTGGATGGGACTGGGAGAATTCTACTGCGAAGAAAATCCATTTCTGAAGAGATTGCCAATTTTTGTTGAGCAGAAGGAGGAAGTTTTGCCTCTGAAGGTGAATAGTTATATGATTTAAATTAATGTTCATGCAAATTTAATTAACTGCCTTAAGAAGGAAAAAAAGATCCTGTGAGATGTTAAAATATAAATCCAATTTAGGTCAATCTGACCTAGTATTTGTTTGTCCCTAGGTAGAGGAAATGGTAGCAGAGGTAGTCACTGATTAGAAGGGGTTCTGGTTCTGGAAGTAGTAAAGTGGCCCCCATATATCCCTCTTAAGAGAAGGGGCCTTGCCAAAGAGATTCTTTTTCTGCTTTCCCATTGAATATACATTAAGCTAATCTTCCCTTTTCATTAAGTGAACTCTGTCTTTAAAATTACATTACTGGTGTGGAACTCTCTTTTTTGTTTATTTGCATGTGTATGTGTATGTGTAGTTTTTTTGTATGTGTATGTGTACGTGTATTTGTATATATAGCAGAAAGAATACTAGGCACAGTCAACCAGTCAATCAACATTTATTAAGCATCTACTATGGGCCAGGTGGGCAGCCAGTTGGTGAAGTAGATAGAGTACAGGGCCTGGAATCAGGAAGACTGTAGTTCAAATCTATCCTTAGACACTTATTAGCTGTGTGACTCTGGGCAAGTCACTTAGCCCTGTTTGTCTCAATTTCCTTAATTATAAAATGAGAGAGGATGGTAGACTGCATTATTTATGAGGTTCTTCATACTTTTAAATCTGAAATCCTATGCTTTTGTGATCCTTCCTTGACCACACAATATTCTTTTTTTCTTTTTTCCATTGCTGAATATATTTTTGAATACTTGTGACTTCTTCTGAATTATAGTAGTACTTAGGGTGTATTTTTTTTTAAATTTGTGACACCATTTACTATTGTCTTTGAATTTTCAGAAAAACTTTTTATCCCACAGCTACAGTGTACATAATTGTGAAATCCAAACACATCATTTAAATAATTTTATGTAGCACTGTATTATAGGATTCCAATATGAGTGATATGTCTCTCTAAATTTAAGATGGCTAGTCCCCGAAGGATAACAATAGCAATAGCAATTATAGTATTAATTAATAAGGGGAACTTAATAATTAATAAGAACTGCTTTAGAGAGCGCAACTCTGATGGGCTGGCCGTGTCATTTGAATGCAAAACATATGCTTGCCAAAAAGACTATTTTATGGAAAACTCACATAGGACAAGCGTTCACATAGTGGTCAGAAGAAGTGATGCAAGGACATTCTCAAGGTTTCTCTTAAGAACTTTGGAATTGATTGTGTGACATGGGAGATACTAGCGCAGGACTGCTCAGCATGGCATGCTCACATCAGAAAAGGTGCTGTGCTCTATGAGCAAAGCAGAATTGAAATAGCTCAAGAGAAACACAAGATTCACAGACTTAGAGAACCCACCCCAAATGTTCACACAAAGTATTTGTGCCTGACCTGGGGTCGAACATTCTGAGCTCGTATTGGTCTGATCAGCCACAGTCCGACACGCTAAAACTGGACTCCAGCATAGTGATGTCATTTGGTCCTCTTCAAGAACGAAGGACAACAACCAACCAACCAATTAATAAGGATAATAGTAATGGTAGTTATAGTGGTAATTAATAAGGATAATAATAGTAATAGTAACTACATTTTTAATTAGCAAAGATATAGTAGTAAAAATAATGAGAAGTAGTTTTTAGATTGTACTTTAAGGTATGCACAGAGCTGTACATGTTATACCATTGGATCCTTACAACGACCCTGTGAGGTAGCAGGTGCTATTATCATCCCCATTTTACCAATGATGAAATTAAAGCAGGCAGAGATTAAGTGACTTATCTAGGGTCGTCACATAAGTATTAAGAGTCCAAGGCAAGATTTGAATTTAAGTCTCCTTGACTCTAGGTCCAATATTCTATCCACTATACCACCAAGCTGCCTCTAATTAAATTATTACCTCTAGGCATATGACATCCAAATCTATATATCTTGTTCTAATCTTTCTCCTGAATTTTTCAGTCTCATAGTTACAACCATTTAGATGTTCCATTGGAACCTCAGACTCAGCATGTCAACAATAGAATTGATCTTTCCACCTAAACCTTTCTGTCCTTCACATTTCTTTATTCTTGCAGAGGGAATCTTTCTTTGATTCCCTCAGGTCGATGACCTGACTTTTTTCTCTCCTTCTACAATCTGGCTCCATATTTCCTACCCAGTTTTATTCACATTATTCTCTTTAATCAATTCTACCAGAATACTAGCTTTTCCCCAAACTCAGTGTGCTATCTCATGCTTCCATTTATCTGCAGGAGTGGTTCCCCCTCCATGGAATGCCATCCCTCTTCATCTCTGCATCTCAGAACTCTTATTTTCCTTTGAAGTTCTATTCAGGTGCCACCTTCTCAGAATACCTGATTCCTTAGTTGTTCAGAGGCATCTAGGTGGCTCAGTAAATAGAGTGCTAGACTGAGAATCAAGAAGAACTGAGTTCAAATCTACCCTCAGACACTAGCTGTGCAACTCTGGGCAAGACACTTAATCTCTGCACTAATTTCCTCATCTGTAAAATGGGGATAGTAATAGTACCTACCTCCCAGGGTTGTTGTGAAGATAAAATGAGATAATATTTGTAAAGCACTTTGCAAACCTTAATTTGAGAAATAAATGCTACCTATTGTTATTGTTAATGCTTTCCTCCTCAAATTTCATTGTACTTATTCACATGCAAGTTTAATCCCCCAAATAAAATGTTAGTTCATTGAAAGCAAAGACAATTTTATTTTTGTCTTTGTATTCCAAGTGCCTATCACAGTTCCTTGCCCATATTATGCCCTTGACAAATGAAAATTAACTAAATATTGGGTACCTTGCTAGGTTATAAGTCAGCTTCTTTCATTTTTGGATAGCTCTAATTGTTAAGAAATTTTTCCTTATATTGAGACCAAATCTACTTCCCCGTAGTATGAGATCATAATTTTAAAACTGGAAGGAAATTTATAGGCAATGTAATCCAAACCCCTCATTCTATTGATGAGAAAGTACAGCCAAAGGAGGTGAAAGGATTTAATTAATGACATAAGTAGTCATTTGAAGAGGTGGGATTTGAACCCAGGGCCTTCCTCATTCTCCACATCCAATGATACTTTTCACTATACAATGCTATCCACTCCTCCCCACACTGGTATTATTTCTGATCCAGTGGAGCATTAATTATTAAAAAGAAGTTAGTTATTTGCTTGTCAAAGAGTCATTGGCTTTTGGAGCCCATTGGGATAACTTTTTTTTTCTAGAATTAGGCAAATGCCACACTCTGAAACATTTCACGGAACTTTAATTGGTGAAGAGATTTCCTTTTCCTTTTCTCTCCCCAGTGTAGCTTATATATCACTGGATCAGGCCCAAGAATATCTTATTTTATGTAAGAATCTTTCAGTTTCCTTTCCAACTCATAAATGTTAATTAAGTTTCTAACAGTATATGGTGTATCAGTATATGTTCTCATCCCATAGTAACGAGTTGGCAGCTATAAGCTGTAGAGTAATATGAATAATAGGTGATGTAAGACTTATGAAGAGACACACAGAGTGCAGTAGAAATGTTTTGTTTCAGAAATCAAAAGTGGAAAAAGTGAACTCTATGTCCATTTCTGACCTATTTATTGGTCCCCAATAGTGTAGCAAATTCCTCCAACATCTGCTGCTTTAGGGTGAATCCTTCAGGAACTCTTAATTGCCATTCAATTTGTTCCAAGTTTATAGAGCAAGCTGTACATTGAGATCTTGTAGCTAAAAGATCATCTTGGCAACCCCTCTGGCAATGCTGTATCTGTAAGTGGTTAAATACAGGGTGACTGTAATCCTTTAACTGAGTGCTGCCCAAGAAACACCTGATAATATTGGTGGGAAAGGGCACCTCATTCAGAAAGGATGATCTCAACCATGTGACTATTTAGAAGTGATTTTATGTGGGTAGGAGGCTATGCTATTGAAGGATCGTGTACCATTCTGAAAGGACTATGGAATCCAATGACCCTTGCTTTGCTGTACAAAGGTGGTTTTCTCAGAAGATGGCTCACTGGGAGGGCTAAGGCAGTAGGGAATAGGGAAATGGAAATGAAGCAGATCCTATGAGGAGCTCTAGAGGCCTTAGTTGCATAAACCAAATGGTCTGCTGTGGGTATTGCCTTTTTCCTCCACCCCATACCCTCTCCCTCATTAGATTTTTGTTGTTATTGTTTTTTTAATTGCTTAAGTTTGACCTTGGCAAATAAATGAAATGCTTCTTGTGTATAGCCAAGGATTCCTAACATAACATGATCTGTGCTACATTAATCATGTTGGAAGATTTCCACTTTAGGGGGGGAAAGTCCCTGAACAAACCAACTCTTACATTATTAAAATGGCATGTGGTATTTGTGGGACATTTACATAGGGCTTGATTTCCACCCAAAGAAACCAAAGTGGGTGAACTTAGTCAATCCAGGCAAAAATTTGTTTTTTTCCCTTCAGTTTGCTCATGGAGATGTAGCAGCAGTCACATAATGAGTGGGGTTAATAACATTATTATCACTGAGAATATCACCTTAATAATACCTTGTAGATGCTTCTTCTTTTTTTTTTTTGCACTCTAAAATCTGTGCTGCCCATTTTTTTTTCTTTTTCCCTTCCACCAGGGAAGGGAATGTGTTATAGATTCCTTTAGAAGTCTGGTGAAGCCTATGGATCAGAATAGTGACTTCAAGTACATTAAAAATACATAGGATTACAAAGGGAACCAATTATATTGAAATATAGTTAGCAAAACATTAAAAAAAGTTCATGGATCCTGAGTAAAGAACCTCTGCCTTCTACTACCCTCTTCTGACTCCCTAACCTAATGGTAATTATTGCAAGAGTATAGTCTTTATCTTTGAAGAGGGTCATGGTGGAATCCATGGAGATGGCATAGAGTTAATATCATTAATTGTCTAAAACAGTTTGACCAAATCCATTATTATTTCATAGAGTTGAATGGCTTATGATAGAACTGGACTCTGATATC